TATTTAACAAGGTTACTAGCAAGTAAACTATTGAGGAGAAAAAGGGAGCTATTAGATCATTTGGAGGCATTCAAATTCAGTTGACATTAGTGGATCGCAGCCCACAACTATCATTTCTTGAGTTCAAGGAGTTTTCAAAGAATATCCCTCCTCTTTCACAACAAATCTACAAGGTTGTTATTATTCCTATTTCACAAAATAGGAAACTAAGGCTCCAAGAAGGTAAGAGTTCCCAGGGCCTCACATTCAGAAAGGGGCTCAGCAGACAGGTATTCAAACTCATGACTCAAACTCTCAACCCTTGTTCTTTCAACTCTGAGGTAGAAAAAAGCAATGAATGGCCATTATTCTGATTTCAAATTACAGTATCTATTTTTTTACAAATGCAAAAACATTAAACTACTGGAATACATTTTGTTTAATATCCTAATTGCAATGAATGTGTTACTCAGAACCTTCTTAGCTAAGTTGAGCCCAGATTTTAAAAACTTCAATTAAGCCCTGGCTGGTGTGGCTCAGGTGAATTCAGCGTGGGCCTGGGAACCAAAGGGTGTCTGGTTTGATTCCCAGTCAAGGCACATGCTTGGGTTGCAGGCCAGGTCCCCAGTAGGGGGCGCGTAAGAGGCAAATGCACATTGATGTTTCCGTCCTTCTCTTTTTCACTCCCCTCTCTCTAAAAATAAATAAATAAAATCTTTAAAAAATAAAAATAATAAAAGTTTCCATTAAGATACAGAAATTTACCAAATATTCTACCTCACAAATATACTTTATATACTTTTCATCATTTACATGGTAATTACACTCACACTCTCAAGGCTTTTTTAGTAGTTTATGTCAGACAGCTAACTGTCTGTAATATCAGGGGAGGCCAAATTTGTATACTTATGTCCTTTTACTTTTTCATAGGCTTGTATCAGTATAATATCTTTCCCAAAATAATGAAATCCTTTTTGCTTTTTTGGTACTTGAATCCAGACTTCTCTTCATTTCCTGTCTTTTCTCACTGTTCTCTCAAATTCACGGACTATTCTGTCAGCAGCTTTCCTCCCCTTACTTGTTGTCATCCTTCCACTCCTGTTACTTTTCTTCCTGCCACTCTGCTCTCTTCTCTGTAGAGCCTTCAAAGCCACCTGCAAGGCCGTAACAGCCAGTTGTGCTCTGACAAGAAAACCAGGGAAGCCTTGCCCTTCAGCTGGTCTCCTGGAATATCTTCTCTGACAGGACACTAGCAAACCCAAAACCGATGTCAAAGTAATAGGGTTCTAAGCAACGCTCATTTCTAAGAATAAAATAGAAATAAATGAGTTACTAAATTCACTTTTGATGTAAAATCCCAAGCTGTTCCTCCATATGTGTTTCCAAGTAAATTATTTCAAAATAAAGAACATAATAAGTGATTTATGCTTCTTTAAGTCAGGTCTTTAGGTTTATTTCTATTGTTATGGCTGCACTCCACAGATTCACAGTAAACAAAACTACCCAAAGTGGATAATACATAAAATTTACTGTAGACATCCCCAAGACAATTGGAGTTGTTACGATTTCACTCAATACAGTTCCCTTAAAATAAAGACTATAATTAAAGAAGTCGTGTGAGGTCAAAAACTGGGAATATTTTTTCACTGGCAATATTTTTTTATTGCATTGCCAGTGCTTTGCATAATACCTGCTACATTGTAGGTCCTCAAACACCTTTTATAATTTGGTGGCATAAATATGAATTTATTACCCATATTTAAGAAAGTAATCTAATTCCCTTGAAGTTTCTTTTAAGCTTTATTTATTTATTTTTAGAGAAAGGAGAAGGGAAAGAGAAAGAAAGGGAGAGAAACATCAATGTATGGCTGCCTCCTGCATGTCCCCAATTGGGGACCTGGCCTGCAACCCAGGGACGTGCTCTGACTGAGAATCTCGAACCCTGAACTCTTTAGTTCGCAGGCCGGCACTCACTCCACTGAGCCACACCAGCCAGGGCTCCCTCAAAGTTTTAAAACTCATAACATGTGCTTATTTTTCTTTCATATGCCATTATGGCAGTTTATCAAAACCTTGATAATACATTATATATCTGCGTAGAACCCCAGAATAGAGAGGGGCCCTCAGCATAACACCTTACAAATGAGAAGGATCCTAGAGACTTAAAATAATATGCACAGAGATATAAAAATGTTTAGTTGTCCAAAGAACAAGGAATGACAACCAGGTCTCCTGAATTCCAGAATTTTTTTCAATTTTATCAATTCAATTTACTTTTCTTATTAAAATAGTATAAAGTGTTATCATCTTTATAACCAACATTTGATGTATAGAAAAGTGACTTTTAAAGGATAAAAATCAGAGTCCGACTATCCCATTGATCAAATAACTAGTTCAATTACTTGGCAATATTCTGGTATTTATAAAATTCATTTCCATTTTCTTACTTGCAAATTGCTCTGAATAAAGAACACATCTCCAGTGATTGAGACGACATTCCATGATGAGGCAACTAGGAAAAAGAGAGCTTCCATACCATGATTTCTCCTGAAATATATTGTAATGAATGCAAGAAATCTCATAACAATAAAAAAACTAGAAAATTCCATCTAAGAATGCCCTGGTAATGGCTATTCTGAGAGGCTTTTTAAAGTCACTCAGCTCTAATAAAAGACAGGGCATACTCTGTGTCCACAAGTGTTCTCAGAGAAGTTTACAATTTTCTCATTTTAGGAGGATGCATCTACTAAAACTTTTTGAAGCAATGTTCTAGCTCCACCAAATAAAAGAAGACGGGGAGAGGGGGTGAGGGCCACGCAAACAAGTCACTGCTTTGAAATATGACCTCAGTTTTCTTTGCATTGCTAAGTCTACTGGTGATACAGTTAGCCAAGGAGAATTTTTTATCCATGCCCTGTGAGACTGAAGATGTTTACACCATATTCACCAGTATATTTTGAGCATTCCAGCTGACAGGTCAGATCTTTTCCAAAATAGAAAAGTCAGCATGGCAAGTACACATAGCTGGTGTGTATATTACATCGCCATAATTATTTTCAAATTTCTTATCCTAAAATCCATGACCTAGGTAGGGGCCTTTTATCCAGCAAAAAGCCAGAGTCACTCAAAGTTGACTTGTAAAGCTAAAAATCAGAGAGTATTTCCTCCCTCTTATTTTGGTAGTAAATACTTGGGTTCTGTCTATTTTATCTACATGTAAGTTGTTGAGAACAGTGTTGGATTAAATTGGCATTACCAAGGAGGCACTGCCATTACTGTTCAGAAACTTTTAAGTTCTAATTCTTGGGGTAGCCCTCCCCAAACTAATCATTATCTTCAGTGAAATCATTGTATTCAGATACAAACCCGTTATACTGAGAATTAACGTGTTGCACAAATGTGCTGTATGTACTGACACAAAACTACCAATGTGCAGGATTACTGGACTCCTTTAACAAAGACTATGTTCAGCAACTTGCAACACCATATAGTTCCTAAAATCACACGTCCTGGGAAATAGTGCAGTAAAGAATAGCAAACAGTAGCCAACCCATTCCAGGTCTTGTATCCTAGGTTATCAGTGGAAGAGGTGGCAGAAAAGTAAACCAACGGGCCAATATCTAAGAAACGGAAGATGACAGAAGACCAGTTCCATAGTCCAAATGAAAAGCCATGCCCCATTAATGCACATGCCACCAGGATACCCACAGGATTCCCTGGTATCAGTACCCAGTCCCTCAGGATTGCCATGTTCCTTCTCAGGTTCATCCTCCCATCAGTTGCAAGACTACTTTCTAAAGGAGACTCAAGAACAGTCAAACAAGATCAAAGTTCAGATTCATTTTGGAAACTTCAAAGAAGTATAAGTCCCCAAAGAGAGTAAACTGCCACCAGGAGTTGACGTCCGTGGGAATACAAGGTGGATGGAGGTTTGACACCTGCACCCGCTTCTGATTCTATCTGCAACTGTGTGGATTCCTTCAAAACACAGGTCACACTGACAGAGAAAGACTGATATAAAGGTCTGGCATTCCTGCAAATGGCTCACGTCAAGGGTAGCTGAAATGCTGGAGCAGGCATGAGCAGAAGTGCTCTGGAAGAATGCCCAGAACCAAGGGGAGTCCGGCGTACACCTGGAACTGCTGATACAGACATCCCGAAACGGGTGTAAGTCTAGAGGGCTAGGAAGGCATTTATTTACACAACAGATGTTCATGAAGGTCCTAATATAAGGAAAGCACGAGGAAAAAAAAAAACGAGTGAGTAAGTACTAGAGAATTCAGGGAAAACACAGTGAAGGTTTGAGGGCACAAGAAATACGAAAGAAGTTTAGACAACCAGACACCATGGTTGCCCAAAGAAAAAGGTTGGGCCAACCATGTTCGTCGAATAAGAAAAAAGGCTGTAAGATGAAGAGAAAAGAGATTAGAGGGGTTTGGTTTGGGGGGTTTTTTTCGTTAGAAAGCAACTCAAAAAGTGTCTGACAGCCAGTTCCTGAAGACTGGAGAAAAGGGAAGCAACGGAGAATGCAGAGAGGCTGTGGAATTCAAAGATGTCAGAGGAGGTCAGGCTAAGAAGACCCAGAGTGTGGGAAAAAAGACAGGAAGAGTTTCCTGGAAGGGGTAAGCACCCCTTTGGGAGAACAGAGATGAAAGACCCGGAGATGGGAACTGCGGAACACAGCGCCTGGGAAAGTTTGGGGGAAGGAAAACAGGTGGGTGTGAAGGAGTCCTGAGGCCGGGAGGGGGAAGAGGGTGAAAGGCTGGAGGTGGGCTGCAGCCCCCGAATCTGAAGACCCAAGTGGGTCAGAGTGTTACCCCTTAGCGTGCTCTAATGCCTCCTTCCCCCAGAACCCGGCCATGGGTGTCTCCAGGGGCCAAGGGAACCCCAGGCCCGGCGGGGCTGAGGCCTGGCCGCCCCCCAGCGGTTGGGTTCTGCGCGCACGCCTGGCTCGCCCAGCGCCAACTTTCCCGATCCCCGTCCCCTCTCCAGACACGCCGGCCCTCCTCCGCCCGGCTCACCGAGGGTGCCGTCAGGCGGCTGATGCTCTCGCCCAGCGAGTCCAGGTTGACCCGCCTCCGGCGCTGCGCCCTCCTGGCCCCGGCGTTAGCGGCGGAGGCGACCGCGGAGGCGGCGGGGGCCGGAGCTGCGGCCGCTCTAGGCTCAGGCTGCCCCGGGGGGCTCCGGCTGCCGTTCCAGCAGAGCCTGGACATGGGGCATTCCCCCTCCTCCTCGGGGCTGGTCTCCAGGTAGTCGGAGCCCAGGGAACTGAACGACTCGGACGAAATCTTCCTTCGAGACATGCTGCTGGCGGCGCTGCGGCGGCGGCCCGGACGCGAGTGGCAGCTGCGGCTGCAGTAGCGGGACCTGCGAGCAGCGACCTTAGGCGCTGCGGAGCCGCGGGGCGCTGCGATCGCGCTTAGCCTGGGGCGAGTCTCCCGAGCCGCGGAGCCCGCCGCTCATGGCGGGAACTTGCGCCCCACCGCACCTTGGGGCCCGGGCACGGCGGCTGAGCAGCACTGGGGAGGGAGCCCGCGCTGCCTCTGCTGCTGCAGCTGGCGTGGCGCCGCCTCAGCTCCCGCTTCGGTGCCTGGGTTTCGGCGGAGGCGCTCGGAGTGTGTGATCGCGGGCGGCGCGGCGGGAGGGCTGCGGCCCGCGCGGTCAGGGCGGCGGAGGCTTCCACCGCCTGCGCGCCGGTCTCACCCCACTTCCCTCTCTCCTCCCGCCCCTCTCCTTGCAGCCCGCCTCCCTCCGTCTCCCTTTATCCACAACCCCCCCCCCATGCTCTCCCTCCGCCTGTATCACGTGTCGCTGTCATACACATTGGGAGTCTCTGCCTCGCCTGTCGCCACGTTTCAGGAGCAATGAGGACACTTCGTGGCCTTCCTCTGCGCGCCCTCCCCGCTCCCGCCTTCTCCTCCTCCGAGAAGGAGTGCACCATAGCTCAGATCTGACCAAAGGGCCTTAACCCCAAACTCTGGACCCCTCGCCCGCAGAAGAGGCTGCTGGGGAGCAGACAGCCCCGCAAGCGCGGAAAAGAAGGGGATCCTGCTCGGGAGAGCCTGAAAGCGGGAAGCGGGTGGGTGGCGGGTAGGCTCCATATCTATCCTTTTTCCGCCTTCGTTTGAGTTTATTTAGGAAGTTCGGAGGCTTGGCGAAAGGCCGACCGGTCCAGCTCGCGCATTCAGGGGAGACGCTTACAAGGAATTGGGAAGGGGCAAAATGTTGGCACCTGTCCTGCTGAAGCAGTTCGTGGGGACGAGTGTTCTCCGCTTCAGGAGGCCGCGTGGGCTCGGAGCGAGCCCAGAGCCGGGCGGCACTGAATGAGGACAGCGGCTGCTCAAGCCAGAGCGCTGTTACCTTGCCGGGTGTGCGGGACTCCTGGATCCCGTGGGCTCATCACTGGTGCTGGACAGCTCCGCTGGCCACCTGCGGCGGCGTTTTCTGCGTAATGGGCTGCGGGACAATTCTGCAGATACCACTACCTAGGACCAGGCTGGGGGAAGACCGGGGAGTGATCCCAGGTCCATGGCTCTTTGCGCAAAATATACTGTTTGCACTTGGCTGCAGCTGCTGCCCAGAAAGCTAAGGAAAGTGGGAGAAAGGTTTTCCAAACCCAAGAACAAAATCCCTACAGCGTGAGCAAAGCTCTTGCTGAGAGTTTGCGGTGGAGCTGCCTAATTCCAAACCTTGCCTCGTTGCAAAACCAGCAGCCACTCTAAGTACCCGGCCCCACAGCATTTGCTTTAGCTCCAGAAAAGCCTCAGACTTATTCTGACCTTGGGGGAAAGGGTAGGAAGTAGGAGCAAATAAGAGTGTCCTGGAAAACAGGACCCCACTCTGTGCGTCCCTGGGCAGCAAAGCAGCACCCTCACCACCTTTCCCTTTCCAGGAAAGGAAAGTTCAGGGGCTGTGGCTTTAGCTCCGTGATGATACTGAGGCCAAAGCGTTCCGTTTTGTTTTGTTTTATTTTGTTTTGTTAAGGACTGGTCCTTCCAAGGTGAAGGTAGATGGGTTAGTGGGTTGTGTTTGTTTAAGAAAATAAACAAAAAATCCAAACCAAAACAATAACAACAACAACAAACCACAAACATGTGCTCTGATTCCAAACACGATTTGCTTTTAACTCTAAATCCTGGCAATAGTTTGTGAGGGCCCAAATAAATATAAATGGTGCTTGAGATTTCCTTTTATATTCTGGAAAAATCCACTCAAATTGACTCAGAGTCATGCTTGATTCTCAGATTTTAAATAGGCATTAAAGATGCCAAAAGTGCAAGCTATCTGTTACATGCTACCCTTCAACTATATAGTCTTTCTCAGCCTACTGAGTAAGTTGCTAACAGCATGGTTTCTCTTCTTAGCGGAGGAAATTCAGAACTTTTTGTTTTATTTTTTTTAACTATCTTAGAGATTTTTTTTAATTTTTATTTATTTATCTTTAGAGGGGAAGGGAAGGAGAGAGGGAGAGAAACATCAATGTATGGTTGCCTTTTGTGCATCCCCTGCTGGGAACTGGCCTGCAGGGAACTGGCCTGCAACCCTGGTATGTGCCCTGACTGGGATTCGAACTGCGATTGTCTGGTTCGCAGGCCCGCGCTCAATCCACTGAGCTACACCAGCCAGGGCAGAACTCTTTTTAAAATTATTGTTATTATTTTGGTGGTGTAGTTATCTGCTGTTTTCACCGTTGTGCCTCTTAGTCCTGCGTGCATTTGCTCCCACCAGAAATTAGACACAATCGTGTACTTTTTATCATGAAGAATAGTTGTCAGTTCTGCTCAAAGTTTTACAGGCCTTGTTTCTGAAATACAATAAATAGTTTCTATGAAAATTACATTGTTCCAACTTTGGGGAAACTTTCTAATATTCTTGCTGTGCAGTACCGATCACAGCACAAGTTGGAGTTCTTAGTTTGTTTCTTTAGTGATGATGAATGTCAAGTTTTCTGTAGTCATACAATTTTACACCTTCTTCTAAGGATACTAAATAGCATTAGACCCTTCACTTCTTTTAATAAAACTGCTTATGCACACACACAGGAAGTTCCTGTTGTGGTAATGGTACATGACCTCTGCATTGAAGTGAAAACCCAAACTTTCACTAATCATTCCAACTTTTGTCACAAAATCAAAATGAGTCTGAGTGCTGAGCAATGAGTACAATTTGTTTCTAAAATTTACAAGAGTCCTAAGAGCCTTCCTGTTTACACTGGATGTTTATTGCCAGAAAGAACTCTGACCCTAACAGACATGTTTGCTTTGTGTGAACCATCTAAATCAAAGACTCTTTATAGAATCTAAGCAACTGAAGTGGTCTTGCTGTTTTCTGCATGAATTAGCCCGCCTGTGATCATTATTTTCCCACTGATTCTTAAACTATAAACAAATGAAGGCCTAGATACAGATAGTCCATCATCTGCATGACTTTCAAGGGTTTCCTTTGTATTTCTGTTCAAGAGCTGAGTTCAAAGGCTCTCAATATGAAAAGTGCTATGTTCTATATTTGAATTAACGTTTTTAAAGGAAGACAATAGGAATAACCTATTCTTCATAAAAACAATTTGAAAGACTTAGAGCTAGTAAAAGGAATCCAAGCACATGAGGAAAATGAAGAGTGTCTGCTCATATGTTAGCAAAAGAAACTTAGCTCTGCATGCCCACAAATCCAGTTCTCCTGTATGTACTGTGTTTCAATAAATTCCTTAAGAACCAGTCTCCTATTGGAAAGGAAAGTGCAGGAGTACATTTGAATCATTTGTGAAGTCAGCGAGGGCACCTGAGGACTCACTTCAGATTGATAAAGCATTAGGAAGGACTCGGTAAAAAAGCAGTTTCTCCACCTTAATAAAAGTGGTGAATATTTTTTTAAAACATAAAACAACGATTGTTGTGTAGGCCTTACCTTCCCATACAGCACTGCTATTTATAATTCCTTCCACTTACTTTGCCTCATTTAATTTGACTTTCATTCTTCCCAGAGAAGTAGTTAAGGAAAATTCACCTCTGTCAAATTCAAGTAAAAACTAATATTAGTCCTCACGCCCTGGCCAGGTGACTCAGCTGGTTGGAGCATCACACCATACACCAAAATGATGTGGGTTTGATTCCTGGCACGCGGACATACATACATACATACATACATACATTTATTTATTTATCTATTTTCTTTCTTTCTTTCTCCATACCCCTCTATCTAGAATCAATAAAAAACATACCCTCAGGTGAGAATTAAAAATAAAAAATAAAATCAGTGCTCACTCCCCAAATTCTTTGCAATCCAGAGCGCCACACGTTTTCCTAACCTGCTTTCATCGACCTAAGTCTCCAGCGACAAAGACTGCAACACCTGTGTGAGCATTCCCCTGGAGCCGAGGCCTCGCCTGGTGCCATGAGACTGAGGAACTCTCTCCCTGTAGTCGATCTTTACAAACACCTGGCGAATCACAGGAACCGTACATGTAAAATTAAAGCAATTTCTCTAAAGAAATACAGTAGCTGGTTAATTCTTAACTGGGGCAAGTTTTTCTGGATCCCTAACCTAGAAAATTACACACATACACCTACTCCTTACCTGTAGGTTAATCCTCCTCACGTGTTGCCTGAATGAGATCTTTCTACACCTGCCACTTTCTCATACTTTCTTTTTAAAAGAGGAAAAACATTCTTTCTCAGTAAAATATTGTGAGTAAATAAAGGTGGATATACTGTGCTTTATATTCTCGTATAACTTTATAAGTAAAACAAATATTAAGAAAAATATCAAAACGAGAAGTATCAATCTCCCTAGCTGATGTGGCTCAGTGAGTTAAGCGTTATCCTGCAAACCAAGAGGTCACAGATTCCGTCCCTGGTCAGGGCACACGCCTGGGGTGCTGGCCAGGTCCCCAGTTAGGGACATGCCAGAGGCAAATGATCCATGTTTCCCCCCCTCTCTTTTTCCTTCCCTTCTGCTCTATCTAAACATAAATAAATAAAATCTTTAAAAATGACAAGAATTAACTACTTTGTTCACATATAAAGAGAAACACGAAAAACAATGTAACTCATCATTCTATGGCTATATTTCACCTTAAAACCATGCTGAAGTGACTGGGGACTTGTTAATCAAAGCAAGAGTTGGGCAGGGGTATGGTGGAAAGAGAGAAAAGCAATAAAGTTAATGCAATACTTAGCAGGCTTTATAGGATAAAATACTTGTAAATCAGTGGATGACTATCTTGTTTTGATGCCACCATATCCAAGAAAGAGGGAAAGTAATCAGTGTCTTTTGCTGCCTTTGGCAGACAATACTCTCTTCCTTACCTGGCTTTAAGTGGCTCCAGGTGGCTTTGCCCCCCCAGCCATGCATGCAGTGCTGAAAGCCACCCACCTCTGAGGAGAGACCCTGTAAGTCAATGCCACCCACAATCCCAGCCTTTTTGTCTTCAGCATTGTTAGCTCTCTACACACATTTTTTAAGTTGGGTTTCTTTTTGAGTTATTAAGGGCAGATTACATAGGAAGATTATTGTGCCTTTCTCTGTGATTTTGTACAGCATAGTACCGTCTTAATATGTCTAATAATAACAGTGTTTTGTCTTGTGGTCCACCGCAGCCTTTAATCATTTTCCTAAGTACTTCTTTCCACCCCAAACCCTTCGCTTTCCAAATTATTTCCAAACCTTTACCTTCCAAATCTATTTAAGTGAAAGTAACATTTATTGAGAGTGTAGTATGGACA